ATCGCTTAGCGGCCTTGAACCGATTACGATTAATGTGTTTGGCGGAAATTGATCAAAATCGGTCAAACTCCGGCATGGTGGTCCTCGGCGGTCATAGGCAGGAAATATTTAACAAATTCAAAATTTTTTATTTTTTAATATTACACAAAAACTTTAAATTTTCAAATTTTTTTAGTTTTCAAAATTTAAAATATAATACTAAACTTTTCAAAATTTTAAAATTTTAAATTTTCAAATACTTAACATTTTAGGAAATATTACTTTTTAAAATAATTTTGTTAATAAATTAGGGGCCCCGATTAATTGCCGATTAATCCCCGCCTAGTCCGATTAATCGCTTATCGTCAGTCGACCGCCGAACTACCATCAAACGATTTTTACAACATTGTAAAATATAATGGCCTCAAATTTTTGGTTCACTTAGTTTAGCCGGCCCTGTGAATACGTTGGCTTTAGTGAGCTGCTGAGCATGCTCTCTTTTGAGTGGATTGTCTTTGACAAAGATCCACATTTTAGGCGTAATCACCTTGAAAATTAAAACCCTAATCCCTTCACAAGTAAAACTAATATGAACTGCAAAAATATCCTGAAGAATGAAAAATATTTTAATGAGATTCTTGCGAAGAGCAAACAAGCAAAAACTATAAAACAAATAATCTCTAAAAGATAATCTCAAATTGGTTTAAATTCTCAAAAAAGTTAAACATAATCATTAATGATCAAATATCACATCAAGTGGAAAAGATCATCGGTGGTGACAATGAATGAGCAACTGCATATTATAAATATGTTTACCAAAGCCCAACTTTGATACAAAAGTCATGCCAAACACATTTTTCTAAAATATAAAAATAAATAAATAAATATATAAATTAGATTATTACTTGAGGGTAAAGGTTTTGTGAAGAAGAAACTAAGTTTATAAAACTCATTAGAAATCCCAAAGCATGGGCCATATGATAATATGAACCTTCCAACTCTATTGTACCCTTAGTTTGTTCATATTTCATGATAATGTTCTTTTATATTTTACGTCTCTGTCATTTATTTATTTATTTATCTATTTATTTTAATTCGTCTCTGTCATTAAAGATTGTAATTAACTTCTTGTATTCTCATTTGTTATTTAGCGTTTTATCTTATTATTATTATTATTATTATTATTATTGTTATTATTATTATTTAGTAAATTAAAAGACCCTCTGCTCGAGAACCCCTTTATTGAATTATTGTTATCTCATTTGGCCATCTTTCGAGACATGATAATTATCAATTCCGAAAACATCATTTTTCCAAGAAAAAGAAAAAAAAAATCAAAATACAACCCATAAATTCAAGAAAACTTCATACCTTGATCTAAAAACTACTGGTTACAGGTAAAAAAAAAATGGGAATTTAATTTCTTGTTGTCTGAAGATTTTCTAAAACCTTTGATGTCGGTATTTTATTGGATTTCACTGGAATTATTTCCCTGCATTTTTCCCGCCAAACAAGAGAATGGGTTGAATTTAAATTCCAATTCCTACAAACCCCATGAAATACCTTGAAGTCTAAAACCAATCACTTAATTTTGAAAGAAAAAACCGACAATTACCTCTTCCACTTACCCTTCTAAGCCCTAGCTCTCTGGTGATTTTGGCGACCCCTACCACCGGAGCTTCTTCTCCCCCGCGGTGCTTCATTCACCTCCGGCAACCCATTTATGATTTTATCTCTAGTTTTACGATTTCGTTTTGATTTGTTGAAGTAGAATCCTGCAGACTCACAAATGAGAGTTGCATCTAAAAGAAAGGATATTGAAATCTCATAGATATCAAGGCAGATAAAGGCCATCTGAGCATCAGAAAAAATGTGTTCGTGATATTGTTCCAGTTCATCTATAGATTTCATCGAGTATCATGTAAGACCTTTCTCCTTGTTCCTAATTTTACATGACATTTGGATGTTGCGACTGATCTCGGCAATCTGATTTCATGATACAGAGTGACGGTATTTCAGAGTTGAATGATGTGATTTTTTTGAATATAATATACCTCTATTTTGTGTGATTTCGTTGTACTGTGAATCCCCAATTCGTATTTTCCACATGATTATGTTAGGTTTTATATTTGTTGAGCTAAGGGTTAAATTAGGACTCATAGTGAGCAAATTTGTACTTTGGCTATTTCAACCATGATTCATTTTTAGTCCCTTTGCCTGTTGCAAAATCCCAACATTTCGAATATCACAAAGCTAAGTTAATTTAGTTATTTGATCTTTACCATGTTCAAATTAATAGGAGGAAATGTTTTGGGGAGTAACAGATTATGTTGCTTAACACATTTCCAATGACACTTGATCTTGTTAAACATATCGTGTTCATCCATTCAGTAAATGGGTTTGTTTATATGGAAGAAGCCATGTCTAGCATGCTTTTAATGACCTCTCTTTATTGATTGATAGGTTCTTGTATATGCACCTGACATGTTGTTCATGCAGCTTATATGATACCTGAGTATTGATTAATTGCAAATGTTAAGAACAAGTGGGTGAGTAGTTCTTGGGGAAGAAATTAAAGCTCATTGTTCAGAAGAAGAGAGCCTCACTTAATGACTTTGGCAGGATCAAGATCATATTTGCATCTTTAATGGTCTTAATATGATGGTAAAACACTAATTTTTGTAGTGAAGTTGCATCTTTTTTCCAATGTATGCAACAAAAATGGATTTTTTTTGCCTATCTGTCTAGCCATTTTTCATATTGATAAAAGTTTATGCTATTGTTTACTAAATTTGTTGCTAAAAATGGTAAAATTTTAATAAAGCAGTCATAGCTTTTATTTGTTTGTAGATCACATGACATTTGACTTATAGCGTGTAGACAAATCGACTACAATAAATAATCGATAACTTCAAGATCGAAGTATAAAACCCAAATATCACGATAGCGATTCAACGGAATATAAAACTATTTGAATAATCAACCAAGAATAAATCGAACGATAAAAAGAAAAAACACGCGATATTTACGTGGAAACCCAAATCGGGAAAAACCACGGGCGGAGGAAGCCGAGAACCAATTTATTATAATTTTCAGTGTTTACAGAGATAGAGGAAAGAAAAACAAATATATCAAATATATATTTGTATGAATATGAGAGAAAAATGAAGATGTAATTTGAGGTGTGGTGTTTTTAATAAGCTTGGTTTCATTTCCTTTTATAGGCAAATGAATGTATGAATTCAATTGTCTATTACCATCCAAGCTTGACAAACATGCTACCACCCATTCTTGACAAATTAAAACCACATGTGTAGAATAGTATTCTAGAAATCATCCAATGTTGAAGTTTGAAGGAAACTTCCACATAGCGATTGCTAAAATTTGTGATGTTGCAGAAGGCTGGAGTTGTAAGATTAAAGAAGGAAACCACAACCTAATTAATATCATATTGCCCAGTTGGCTGAGATGAGACCATGTAATAATAAATTTAAACATTGATCCTGATCAAGATATGATTATGTTTCCAATGCATGATATTTTTTTATATAATTATCTAAATAAGGTATAAAATGTTAAATGACAAATACAAAAAATAATTGATAAAAAGTAATTTGACAAGATATTCTAGCTTATGCTCTTAGTTTATATTGAAGTTTACAATTGTTATCTTTTATTTACAGACCTGCTATTTTTTATTTATTTATTTATTTATTTTTTGTAAGCATTTTTGTAGTCTAACAATGTTGGTTTATTGAATCAATGACATCCATATATATATTGTTGAAATGTTTATTGGTGGAGTGAAGACATGTGGTGTGAGTTTGACTATAACAAGAGAAAGAATGTTCTGTTCCAAAAGGACCAAGCAATCGATGTGAAGCCTACAAACAAGTGTTGAAATTAATCTGTATAAATTAAGTTGGAGGATTAGAAAGTTGAGGGTTGTTAACTAGGGATCATGTACATGTTTGTTTTTGTTTTACCTGTGGCTAAATATTGTTGGTTTTATAATCCTAAGGAACATTATACTGATAGTTTATGCCAATCAACATATAGAAGGACAAAGGACGAAGGATATTGAGATTCATAGGGATTTTGATATATTATATTATAATTCAACATGTTATGTAATGAGACGCAACTCTTATTCAATAACTTTACAAGTAGAACCCACATACAAACACTAAAATTGGATATGAAGCTCTCACACACTAAAACCCTAATCCTTTCTCACACGTTTGTATAGAAACAAGAAATATGAGAAAGATATCTAATTAATTTGTAAGCGATATTGTACAGTTCTTTTATAACATATAACGAAGCATAGAATACGACCGTCGACTATACACATCAATATGGGAACAACTTTTAATAACTTCTGATATCCTCAGCCACCTCCAACTTTTAGCACCTGACAGCATCAGCCCCTCTGCTTTATTCTGTGGTCCTCAAATTTTTTAGATTAACAGGCCAAAAGCTTAAACTTTAGCTTTATGACCAATAGAAACTAATAATACCCGACATTAATTGAGTTGCACAAACCTTTCCAAGTTAACAATACAAATAACATGGATATCTAATCATTGTTAAGATCGCATTGCAGGGTATATTTCAAAACAACAAATTAGTAGTATAGTAGATGTCAGTTACAAACTTACAATGGACGAGAGCCATCATGCAATGAATTAGTCAAATGATGAATCATGAAAGAATGATGAGCACAACGGAAAGTTGCCAAAATTGGTCGACCAATTGGATTAAAAATCGGTAACTGTAAGTTATAAGTGAGAGAAGAGTTTTGGGATATTTAGTATTACATTTATATAATGTTCTTTTACCCGTGTTTTGTACTTGTCTCTTATACTTGACAAGACAAATGTGTCGGTACAATTGGATCACAAGGGAGGAGAAAACTAGAAGAGAGTTTATTATTAAGCAAGAGCCAAGAGGAGGAATGATCTGACTGAAACAACATATCTATATATACACCAACCAACACACTCAAATAACTAATTAATTCACACTCTTCCATAATTTAGTCTGACATCAGTTGCTTCCCGCGGCGCTCCCCGTCTAACTGTTTCTTTATTTAGCCCCTTGCAATTATTGAACCTCAATTCTCGGATAGATGACATGTTGGTTAACCACATGGGCAGTTCTTTTATTCCGAATCTATTTATGCATAACAAAGTCAGTGAGGTGAGGTGTTGTAGTTCTTCTGGCATTAACTCCCAATGATCCCAACCTCTCAATTCTAACGACTGAAGGTGGTTACTTAACTTCTTGATGCCTTGGAGACTCGGGAAAGAATCGAGCTCCTTTGAGAACGGACCAAGTGTCAACTTATTTAAGAAGGCAAAACAGTTGAACATTCCATGAGGCAAGGAGGTCAGTTTGTCACAATTGCTAATAGACAAAGTCTTCAAAGAATGACACTGGTTAGGTAAATTGGTTATATCTGAAAGACTGGGACACATGAAAATTTCTAAACATTCAAGAGATGTGAGGCCTTGTATGCTCTTAATGGACACCAGACCTGTGCACTGAGATATGTCTAAGGAAACAAGAGGATGGGGATGGCATTCATCTAAGCAAATAATCTTTGGGCAAAAATAAATATCCAACCTCTCGAGGACAGGTGATATCGTTTTTGAGCTGTTGGGTGCTCCGTCTATCCACTTTTCCAGTCTTTTCATAGAAAATAGTTGGAGCGATCTCAAGGAAGGAGACAAGGGCTTCGTTCATCTAGTAACATCGGAACTCCTTAAGCATGTCAAGCTGTCCATTCCTATTAACACAAGATCCCGAAGATGTGGCAGGTGCTCAAGCGTCGGAAGAGAGAGGCAGCTCCTACAGCCATATAATCTGATCTCCACCAGCTTATCAAGGGGCGTCCATTTCCCTTCGATATCGATTGCCATCCTCATTACCCATTCTGGAAAATTATCACCACAAAAATTGTTAATTTTCAATAGGTTTAAATCTCGTGGGGGTTGCAAGCCTTCCAATACATCCTTCTCGTTTTTGTTGGCAGCTCCACGGTCCCGACTCCATTCCAATTCGATCTCGTATAAATTTTTCTTTCTGGATAAGTCTGCCTTGACAGCATCCTCTTTGCTCCTAACATTCTCTAGTTTGGAGATACGAAGCCTTCCACTAAGGTTATTCAAATGGCGTAGCTCTTCTATACCATGTCTCTTCCTTCTAAGCACTATGAAGCAAGGCAAAGTTTGAAGAGAAGTCAGTTGTCCTACGATATTGGCAGGAATGTTTTTGTCACACTGGAAATATCGCAGGCTTATCAAATTTCTCATGGCTTCTGGAAACTGCTCAATGTCATCAGGCAACTTCAGAGTTTGCAAGTAGTATAATTTACCAATAGATTCCGGAAGAACACGGATTCTCGTATATCTCAAATCCAGATACCTGAGATGCACCAACCTTCCAATTGAATCGTCTAACTCCCGTATTAAATAACATTTGAGTTGTAGGATTCGTATGCACTTTAATCGTTGAAATGGAAATTTCATATTAACTTCACCTTCGATGAACAATGTACGCAAAGTTCTAGCCACTATATTCCTTTCAATGAACATAAAAACCTCTGCTACCAATTCAATGTTCTGTTTTTCGTAAAAGGCGAGATGTTTAACAAGAGGGATACATGCAATATCATCATTTGTCGCATCCTCCAGACATAAGCTTTCATGTTTTGAAAGTGATAATGAAAGATCATGCACCAGATCATGCATGCTACAACGAGTGATGTGACCATACTCATCCCTTTCAACATCTTGGAACAAAGAATTGCTGACCAAAATTTGAAAAATATCATTCCCCACATCCTCCATCTCCTTGTTTCTTTCCTCATCTGCTTGAACCAACCCTAAAGCCATCCAAAGTCGGACCAGTTCTTCCCTTTCCATCACCGTATCTTTCTTAAAGATGGAACAATATACAAAACATTGCTTAACAATAGAATTGGGGAGATTATCAAAGCTCAGTTCCAAACTCTTTTGAACTCTATCTCTTTCTTCTTCCAGATCCCAAACCTTGCTATTTTTTATGGACAACCACTTCTCTGTGTCATTGTAATGTGCCAACATGCCACCTATTACCTTTAATAGCAACGGTAAACCACCACATTTTTCTACAATGTCGCGGCCTATCTTCACCAGTTCTGGTGACGCTGAAGTGCCTGCAACAAACGCTCTTTCTCTGAAGATGTCCCAACAATGATCGTCAGAAAGACCTTTTAAAAGACACGAATCCATGTGCATATCATGAGTTCCGATTTCAAGCTTCCGTGTAGTGACAAGAATGCCACTTCCATTTTGTGAGCTTACATTTAGCATACAAGTCCTAAATTCTTCCCAGTATGGCCTCTCTTCGACCCAAACGTCATCCAACACGAGCAAATATCTTTTTGATGCCAACTGCTCTTTAAGGCTTTCAATTAAATTGGACCTTAAGTCCGAGGTAGGTTTCTTTTTGACAAGAGACTCGTAGATCTTTGCAAGAAGTGTATTGATGTCAACCTTAACCGACACACACAACCATGCTTTAACATCAAAATGTTGCTCAATCTTTTTATCATTGTAGACCGACTTAGCCAAAGTGGTCTTCCCAATCCCGCCCATTCCCACAATGGGAAGAATGCTAAGTTTTTCTTCTTTTTTTGATATAGTTAAAAGTTCAATGATATGGAGCTTATCATTATCCCTCCCAACAATTTTAAATTCTTCTTGATTTGGAACAGTCTCTCTCCAATAGAGACGATCTAGAACAGGGCCAACAGGGTGTTCATATTGTAGTCCTAAACTATTTGCTTCTGTATTCATCTTAAGCAACTTTTCATTGATGTTTTGGATTTTATGACCTATTTTATAACGAAAGGAAAACCTTTTCAAGCTTGGAAGGCACACTACCTTTCTTGCCATCTGATCTTGTTTCTTTATTTGACGCCTCAGCATTTCGTAATCAACCTCATCCAACACATCATCAGCTTCACCCACAACACCTTTTAGCTGCTTCAGCCACACCATCACAACCTCTGATTCCTTTTTTCGCTCCGCATCACGTAACTTGGCACGAATCAGGTCTAATGTTCTGTGAAGGCTGGTCAGCTTTTCTTCATAACCCCAGGCAATGGCAAGTTCACCCGCAGCAATAGACAACACCTTTTTCAATATCCCCTCAGCAGCAATAGTGACTAATGCTTCAGCCATTTTCACTGTTTAGAAGAGAGAGGAAGAGGGGATGAATGGTGGAAGAAAGATAGAAAACAATAAGAATCTGTGAGATGGTGGAACAAAGAGAGACCCAATGAATGGAAATGGAGATTCAGTTGGTGGCGTGTGTAGTGGAAAATGGTATCGAATCAGAATTGAAGGTGTCTACCAAGTTATACCTTTCCTAAGTTACAAGTTTAGAACATACACTTTGCTAATTTTCTTTTCTTTTCTTTTGTTTTTACCTTATCTAAAATATTAATATATCATTATATTTTATGTTTTAATAGTTAACTAGATTAAAACCCGCGTTAAACGCGGGAGCATATAAAAAAACATTGAATTGTAAACTTATATTACATCATAGGAAGCATGACAATTAAAAGTAGTTTACCATAGCTATTTTAAATTCATTAACATACATTACAATAGCTATTTTAATTTCATAACAATTAAAACAATAAATAAAAAAACTAATAAATCATAGAATAATATAAAATATTAAAATAGTTCATTACAATAAAAACAACTATGTTCGAATGCAAATTAAAATATATATAATCAGTAATATCGACCTGGCATAGTCACTGTATCAAAATCAGAACGGATTGAAAAAAGTTGTTGAGAATGATGTGCCGGAACCACATACTCAATCGTATTTCCTCTAAAGAAATATAGGGTATTGTTTCTATAATCCCACCATTCATGTGCACTTTCATTGTAAGTACTATCATCTACTTTAACCCACTGATTGTGAATGAAAATCCAAATAGCCCACGAACTATCTCCACTTATAGAGAGATATCCTAATTTTCCGTGAAACTTGATTAGTCTCGATGCATACGGTTTTAATTCATTAATAGTAGAAGGTGCAAATATGAGTATATGTTCTTCAGAATAAATATCAAATCGCAATATGATATCATTAGATAATAAGAAGTATACGGCACCGCCACTTGTAACTGCCTCATCAGAGACAGGATAAACAGATGATGGTAACCGGATATTTTGAAACTCCCTCCATTGCCATGTAGTAGATGAAAACAATTCTATGTTGTAGTAAGCATAGTCCACTTTTTCCGTAGGCATATCACTACAAATAAAATAACATATAAGTAAATCATAAGGTAAATTAATAATTTAAAATGTACTACATATAAACTCTTACGATGGGTTTGTGTATGACAATCGAATGACCTTGAAATGTAACGGGTTCGAACTGATAACTACCAAAGCAAACTTTGTTGCAGTGTATTCAGAGGTCGGAAACGGTATCCATTTGGCATCTGAAGTCGTTGGTTTGATAACAAATAAAATCTTTGAAACGTATTCATCTGGATCATAGGATTCAAAAAGAAGGGGTCCACACAATGATGATGCTAAAATAGTACAAGTATGTGGTAGCCAATTAATGTCATGATTGTTGCTACCAAAAGACGGAAGAAACTGACGCTCTATATTTCTCCATGGTTTTTTTTGTTGAACGATAATTCCACAAACCACATTATTTCTACGGTTGTAGTTATGAAGAACATAGTTGTTGTATGTTAGATTTCCATAATATGTATTTGTACAACGTACAGTAGCAAATGTTTGTAATGATGTTCGTGAAAGAATTTCAATAATTAGTTCAGAAGTCAATAACGATAACTGCAAAAGAAAGAAATAATAAGATAATAATATTAGAAAAACTTAAAATTTAATATTTGATGACATACGATTTTAATTGATAATAAGTATACTGTTTGTAGCATTGAGGGTAAAGAATTTTACCCGATCCATTTTCATTTTTTTTTCCAATACATCAATGATTGTATTGTTAGACGTGATCCTTGAGATAGCATAACCTTCTGTTTTGTTATTCAAATTGTCATGTGTAATTTGAATTTTGAACGCCATCTTTTTTTCCAATAGTATATTTATAGCAGATGGATAAATTTCATTATTACCAACCTAAAAAAAAAGAATGTTTATAAAAATAGATATATAAAATAATAATTTTGTTTTATGTAAATGAAGTTAATATGTATAACCTTATAAAACTCATGAACCAACTCTTGTGCGTTTTTTCTTATAAGCTTCTTTGCGTCAGAATCATATAAAGTAAGTGACGCCGAACCGGTAATATCTTCAACTATAATGGTGATTTTAAAACTGAAAGCATTGATGTAAACATATTTAGTAATATAAATTTATATAATTTAACAGAACAATATAATAATATTTATAAAATAAGTTTCAAAACCTGGGAACAACAGAAATGACTTTGTTTATGCAGCTTGAAGTGTTACAATAAAAAACTTCTTTATCTTGAGACTGATCATGATGGATTAAAATTTGTTTCACGACTTTCTGTTGACATCTAATACAAGTAAAACAGTACCATTCCCCTTCAGCACATACTTGCTTAATCGTACCGACAACAATTAAAGTCTTTTCCTAAAAAATGTTAATGGAAGTTTAAATTTTAGTATAAAATAATAATAATCAAGGAATAAGATATAAATAATACAAAACCAATTTCTCATAATTTATATATTGTAAATGAAAGTGATTTATATATACCTGATGTACTTGTTGGAGATCAGCAATACTATTGAAATCAAAATTATGAAGAAAATCTTCATTTTCGGAGTAGATGATCAATGACGAAGAGTTGCTACAATTAGCAATTGTGGTTTGAGCCATTTATCTGGACAAAAAACAAATATTGTTTGAAATTATATATATATATATATATATATATATATATATATATATATATATATAAAACCCGAATCTAAGATTGCAAAGTTACAAAGTGTAATAACACTTTCAAAGACGTCAATTTAAAAAAAATACAATTCAAAGACGTTGACTTAAAATTTAAAAACAAACAACATATATAAATATTTATATTTAATATGATATTAATGAATTAAAATTAAAAACGAAAATAACTTGTTTTTCATACGAATACATTATTAACCCTAGATATTTTAGGAACGTTGTTATTTATCACTTAAAACTTACAACCTGATTCAAAATCAATAATACAGAGAGTATAAAGTGAAGACGATGAAGACAAAGTATTCAAAAGAATAAACGTACCTGATCTTGAAGATCTAATTTTGAAGAGAAAAGAAGACGTGGAGAATAACAGAAAACAGTGAAATTGGAGAAGATGACGGCAACAATAGAGGACGGAGGTTCGGAGAGTAGTATGAACGGGTGCCAGTCAGGGACTCAAAGAGTCAACAACAGGTGCAAGGCTAAGAAGATGGTGAAATCGGATACTTGTGAATGACAACTGAGAGGGATTAGTGAGGTATGTTCTAAAAGATCAAAATAATGAGTTTTTGTCCCTAATTTCGTAGATATTTACAACTGATTCGTGATATATTGTTTCATGATTTTCATAGTTTTTGTGAGATTTCTTTCCAAATTTAAAAAAAAAAATCGTCCCTAATCTTGTACATTTTTATATTTGTTTATCATCTGTATGCATGATAGCACTAAATATCAGCATCGTATCTTCAATATTATGAAGAATAAATCTCGATTTTGTACTTGAGTATGATCACGATCGCAACATTTTCCCTCAAAATCCCTGAGTAATTTCCAATCAAATCGCTATAAAATCGTTTTCATGTGACAAATTACATAATCCATCAGCAAAAGCTTCAACGCAAGTTTCGATTTTCACCAGGGGCATCATAATAAGAATTTCTTAATAAGAATTTCTTGACATCTATGTTTGTGTGATAATGCATTTGCATCACTTATTTGGTTATTTTAAAATCCTTTAACAGTAATGATATCATCTTTATTAACCCTTATGAACTAATCCTATCAAAATATAAAAGAGCTTTGAGTTTAATGTGAAAGAATCACAGGTGGTTGGAAACAATGGGGATTCAAAGGCTGAATCTCAATCACCTAAAGAAGAATTAGCTGAGGTCAGCAACCAGGTAACCGAGGTCAGCCAAGTAATCTCTGATTCTATTTCTGTTGATACTACTATCTCCAATTCTGAAAAGAATGAACTAAAGGATAATGTAATTGCTGATGATGTGAAATCAGAGGTAGATGTTAAGCCTGAAATGGTCTTAGATGATAGCAAATCAGATACCAATGTATGCTTGTTAGGGAAGAAGAAAGAGATACAGTTGGCGATACATCTGTCAAATATCATGGAAAATGGGAACTCAGACATATGATGTTCGGTGGAAATAAAGTAGGTTGTTATGTATCCATCATTTTTTTGGGGTTGTCTCTTTATAAAGTATGATGTACTTACAGGGGTAGATTGGTCATTTTATCCTAATTCCATAGGAAAGATAGATTTTCATAATTTAAACTGATATTTTGGTTAAAGTTTGATTGATTGAGTTAAATTTGAGTTGTACCATTTGTTAGTCATTTTATCTGTTGCACATGGTTTATTTTCATATGTTTTGAAGCTTATGAATGAATTTGAAAACATGGATCTGATTCGTTAGTGTAAAGGACACTTAAGGGAATGATAATTGCAGCCTTAGAGATGATGAAATTTTAGTTACATATATGTATTCTTTATTTTTTTGTAATAATGTTATGTTTCCATAATGAACCAAAAAATGAAAAGCATTTGTATAAGAACTGTTATTTTTTTTTGGTTATATGTTATATCTAAGCATGCTAACTGTTTCGATTAATGCCTCCATGTTTCCTTTGCTTTATCTGAAAAGTTAATTTTTTATTAAAAATCTAAGAGATCAGGAAATCACTTAGATAACATGCAATGCTACTGAAATTGTCTTCAATTTGCTGGATTCTTAGTTGCTACATGGTGTTCTTTTAACTATGGGAATTTGAGTTATGCTACTGGTATTAGCGAAGGGATTGGCAAAAAGATCAATTGGTTACTTTTATCTTTGGTTGATAATGGGTACTGCTCTAATAATGCTGTAAAGTGAAATTTGAATGTTTGGAGATTAATCACAGTCGAATCATTTTTTTAAGGACAAAGGGGCAGT